AGAGGTCAGGAAGGTCGGTGACCCAATGGACCTGTTGGACAGATTGCTGAGAGAGCAGTGTGAGTATCACACAGAGGTGTGCTGAGAGGCTTGGAGCTGAGGAAATCTGCTGAGCAAAACTAAGGATGGTATATGCTGAAGAAAAGTGGATTATGGAAGCTGTCTTGTGTAACAGGGGAACGCTACCCTTAATAAAACTGCCTGCGTTTACTTGCATTTCCTGACTTCAGTCGAGAGTACTTCTTAAAAAAATAACTATATATAACGGAAAATTGTATACTTACCTATCAGTAATTTTCCTTTCCTGATGCCAGTACATTAGGCATACAATGGGGTATGGCTCCGCCCCCAGCCCAATCACAGGACCAGTTATACTATAAATTAAAGCCCGCCTCCCAAGGCCACCATTCTCGTAACAAGTACTCAATGCGAAAGCCATGGGAGGGTCCTGTATGCTGCCATGTACTAGCATCAGGAAAGGAAAATTACCGATAGGCAAGTATACAATTTTCCGTTTTCCTGACACCGTACATGGCAGCATACAATGGAATATAGCGATCACACAAACAGGGAGGGTAATTCTGAGATAATAAATTATTTGTACCACATGCAGAACCAACTTCCCCACGGATCTTCCTCCTGGATAGACCCTGTAATGGAACAGGAACAGGAACATACGGCATACGGCAGAATCTCTTATTAACACGATCACTGGATAGGGACATAGATAACAGCTGAAATAGGCTTGCCGCCTTCAGTCACAACCAAGAATCTCATATTTGGAATCATCCAGAACCAAAGCCACAGGAACATTTTCTCTTTTGTCTGAAGAACCCTGTTGGAAGACTCTTAGCGACCAATAAGTCAAATGTCACCAGGTGAATTGATTCTGGCAACTTGAGACACCAAGGAGTTGTCCTGTCAACTTGGGATGCCAAGGGGGAGGATAGAGGTATAGTCTGCCTCAGCAAGCACTAGACCACTTTGGCTTACCCCCTTGGCGATCGCTTCTAATTTGATCATAGCCTAACTTAGGATGCCAGAGTAAGAGCATGCTGAACTATCAGCAGAATGTCGCTGTAATAGCTTGAATGCTTGTTCACTCAAGAAGGATGTGACTAGATGTAATATTTGGAAAATGACCTAGGATTGTAGCAAGGCCAAAGGGCAAGTAACAAACCAAAATATAAGTGGAACTTTAGAATGGTGCGCAAGACATTCGATGAAGTACAGGTGTGGAGGAATGTGAATACACATCTGCCAGGCACAGCATCCTATAGCACGTTGATGGCTTAAGGTGATGAATATAGAGATTCCATATGCAATATTTGGATCCTGATCCATCTGTTTAAATGTTCAAACCATTAGTCTTCAGCATAGTAGGACAAGCTAGTTGTCCTACTATGAAAATTAGAGGAAAAAGGCTTGATATCCTTGGACTGGAAAAGATTATGCGACACCATTGGATATGTGTACTTATAACCTAAGGTTTTGCTTGCACCAAGGATCCTGATGGCAATGAATGGACTGAAAGATGAGAAGAAAATCCTGACAATGTTCGTCTTGAACTCTTAACAGGACCTATGAGCATATACTCTGAAAAGTAAAGCTCAAACCTTTGTAAGTCCCACAACCTGAGACCTACTGGGCAAGTTAG